ATAGTAATCTTAGATTGCTTTAGCCCAATTCTGCCCACATGACACAGTTGGGAATTTCGTTACGAGGTGGTAATAGAATTTGGGCACAGTCAAGAGTCAAGTACACCTCGAATGAGAAAGCCCTATAGGAGGCAAGGCGATGTGAACTTTATTGGCATCGTGAGGTCTACTCAGTTAATTAGGGTTAATGCAACCCAAATTTAAGAGGCCAGAATTGACATGGAGTGCAAGTGAATATAAATTCCTATTAATAGTGATAATGAATTGTTTTAGAAAATAGTCCTATTGACCAGTGAACGCAACAATACTACTATTGAGTAGTGTCATCCCGTTCAAAATTTGATCCTTTCTTTCTATCGTTTTTTCATTGTTATAAGTAGGTTTTAAAAGAAAAACAGTTGATAATACCCTATTTCGTTTAAGGTGATAAGGGCACTGACAGATGAATTTTTCAACAATCATATGCACAGACATTACGTTTCAATTGAATTTCACAGTAAATTACTTCCCCAAACGGATTATCATCCAGGCTGGAGTGGACTTCAGTTTCGACCTCGTCTGAACTCGTCGCATCAACATCCCCAGCCGGAATCGAATCGCGATAGCTTAACCTATAATCTAGGCACATTAACCAATACTGAACAGCGCCCTTTGGCCACAGGGTAAATGTGAATTTCAAGGAATGCTAGGAATTTTCATACATAACTTCTTGTGGGAATGTCGATGAAGCAAGGTTGCATTTACTATAGAAATCGACTACAATACTCATTTCTCGTTTATAATTAGGCTTTAGAGATTATCATTATCAACTTAAACAGAATTAGGGTGAAAATAACAAATCTATATGATCTACTGATAGTCTCTAAAACCCGCTTATAAAAGCGAAAAATACGTAATGCTGTTGGCATTGCACATATAACTTTGCTTCATCGATAATCCCACCACAGAATTTTATATGGTAAAATGTCTAGCCTTTCTCGAAATTCACATCTGCCCTTTGACCCAAGGGCACTCGTGGCAATGTGGCGTAGTGGTTAACGTGTCGAGAGTATAAGCTTCATTGTCGTGATTCTAGTCTGGCTGGGAGAGTTACTAAGATCTAGGCGAGGTTGAAACTCCAGTCAACTTTGAATAGGAACTTCTTTTGTGAAATGCAATGGAAACGTCATGTCCAATCATACCATTGTGGAAAAATTCAACTACCAATTGTCGATGAAGCAAAGCTATATTTGCTACAACAATCGACTGCGTTACTTATTTTTTGTATGTAAGTAGAGTTTCGAGACTACCAGTAAATCAGTATTCACCCAATTTCGTTTAAGGTGATGAAGAACTGCAGTCCACCCTGGATGAGAACAACTTTTGGGAAAGCAACGCAATGTGAAATTGAATGGAAACGTCAGCTCAACTCATATCATTGTGCGAAAATGCTACTACCAGTCCTTAATCACATTAAACGAAATAGGGTGGATACATCTCATGTAGTCTATCTTTGTTTAACACTCTCGCTCCAAATCTGCTGGCTTTGGACGAAAGTATAAGTTCAAGTTAGTTAGTCACTTTAGGGATAGGAGAACAAATAGACAATCTTAGCCTTCAGGGCAACACTAGAATGGAACGTCTGGCTCAGAAGGTCGAGTTGATGTGATGAGCTGAGAATGCTCTGCTCCCGAAAGGATGACATGATCATCGCACGGACACCGCGACAGAACTGAGTTGGGCCATTTAAGCGACTTTTAGGAAGCCATGAGTGGCAAATCCCTTCCCGGCTTCAGCAAGACAGCAGCTGCGACTGGGAGGAGTTGCAGACTGACATGTAGCCATAGATCGTCATGTCTGGAAATATGTTTGGTCATCGTCCAGCTGAAGAGTCAACCATTCAGCACAGCCTGCCTGCCACACGGGCAAACATAAACTACAGTCCACCAGCAGCATTCTTCCCGATGAAGCAGACAGATTGAAGGTTGCCGGATCAAAGGCCACAAATGCCGGCGGCCTCAAGGCCTTAGTGTGGCCATTTTGCGAGAAACACCCGAGTCTCCCATGGGGTAAGGGAGCGTGTGATTTGTCCAGTCTGCGGATGCTCACGGTACCACCTGTTGGCGTGGCAAACTGCTATCAGTCGCCCGAGACAACAAAGGACAAGCGGTTGAGTGAACACTGGGTGCTGCCAGTTGGCCTCGTGGCAAACGGCGCCAAATGTGCGGTTTCACCGGCAAATCAGCATAAAGACTTTGCGATTCCGGTCAGCATATTTCTGCCATTGCTAGGTCAGGAAATGGCCTTAACGTAAACTTTCCCAAACTAATGGTACGCCAAGAGTACAGGCGAGCGTCTCGGTGCATATTGGCGCCAGGCCTACTGCGATGCAGACACGAGGCAGAAAGGAGACAGTGTCTCCCAGACACCCACGGGACACAATATCAACCTGCACAATCATTAAGGCAGGTGATTCTGCCCAGTGAAAAGGAGAAGGTGGAACAATCCGTTTTGGAATGTGAAGACTTTAAACTGAACTAAATATATTCAGTATGAGTAGAACCAAAAACTTCCAGGTTTTACCGCATCTATACGAAAAGTAGCTGAATTTCGATGAATATCTTGACATAACGGTGTATGAAAGTCGTTGATTGATATCACTGTCGTCTGACAGCTGATTCAAGTTGACCTAGCACACAAGTCATCCTCTCTTGTTTCGGGTGAAACCGGAATAAGCTTTCATCCGTCCTATGACGGAAATCCTCAGAGCTGGAGCTCACTCTTGCAAAAGCCTTAAATTAACACAAAGTCAAGCAGACTAAAAGGGTATATCATACATACCTCAAATACTCATACATCATGTGCGTATGAGTGGATGTATGCATGTATGTATATATGTATATATGTATGTATGTATGTATGTATGTATGTATGTATGTATGTATGTATGTAT